AAATTTTGGAGACTGAGGTCTAGAACTTTCGATTTAGGGGGAAACTGGAGTTTAACTTTCGTTTTGTGTGGACTGGAGACGAGACCCGAAATCTGTGTTGTTATGGTACTATATGAAACTTACTGGGGGGACACAGGTCGTTCACCCGTTCTTTTCTGTGCAAGAAGAATATTCAAACAAAATGTCAAAATCTAACCAATTGCATACATCGGTATTCGCAAATTCGGTACACCCAGACGAATTTTCGACATGCGACAGAGTATGCTTAGACTGTCTTTTTAATTAAAATATAATTCTGTACTAGAATCTAATTTTCTTAAATATTGATAAACGTAGACAAAATATTTTATTCGGCAAAAATAAATCATTCGTGTGAATGTTTTCCAATAACTTGATACAAATAATTGAAGACTATAGTATCAAAATGAACTTTTTTTTTTTTTCTGTTTTGGTCAACTAAAATCTTAATAAAATGCATGTTAAAGTTTGATTGTCATTGTTCTGTAATACCCGTTTATATCTCATGTTGGCTATCACGATTTGAATCTTGAAAATTTGAAATCCATATCAGAATAAAATTTTGAAATCATTTTGCTAGTGAATAATTAAGATTTTTATCTTCATGTGCAGTTAAGAGAAATTAATGATATACATTTCAGGAAAAAATAGCATGAAGTAGAAATAGAAACCGAGACGCGGTATGGGATATGGTCCATTACAGGAAGGCACGATGGTCCACGAATAATTGTTATTACGACAACAGAATTAATTGCATTATTTAAACGAAATGAATCAACGACGAAGAACACACACTAGATCTTTTATTCTTTTTCAAAGTTACCACACACACACACACACAAATTCTTAGGTGAACGATAAGAAGATTCTGCTGTAATGTAAAACTCTATGAAACAACAACAGATACGTTTTTATTTTTTGTTAAACGAAGTGTTCCTCTAAATGTGACATGATAAACGCCAAAAACTATGATATGGAAAATTATTAGATCGTTGAGACTCTCCTCCTCAAAATTTATGAGACCATTGAACTCGGATAATAAATCATCATTTATTTACATCGTAGATAACAAACATACACGTAATTTAATTTGGCACATAGCAAAGACTTGATGGATAAAACGTCAAGTTAAAGAAAATTTTGGTATATTAACCGAAAGGTATCGACAAAAAATAAAGCTATAGATGATTGTGATTTGACAAAAACACCCTCAAATCATTGTTTTCAGAGTTTTTTTTAGATAAGGTACAGATAAGAACCACCTCTTAGAATCAACCAATAGATCTCATGGCTTGAAGAAGAGAGAGATCTTTCACTGGAATGTCGCACGGATTCCAACACAATGTCCCAGAAATGCCACGTGGCGTTCATTTCAGAAGATTGCAGTACTGTGGTCCTCAGGGAATCATTATCTCCCTCGCTGTAATATCTTTATGCTCCTGTCACTTTCTGTCTGTACCCAAAAGAAGTAAAGAACCTCTCTTATCATCTTCTTCTCTGTTTCTTTCATGTTTTGTGAGAGTTTTCTCAACAATTTCTTGGTCTCTTTAGAGTGAGAGAAACGAGATAGAGGAGAGATCTTCTCCTTCAACTTCTGATTCGTCCAGAAGCTTTCCTAATCTGGTTAGTGTAGTACTCATTTATACGGTCTTTGGTTTTATAAGATGTTGCTATATTTGGAAATAACTATTTTTCAAGCTTTCCTAGATTGCTGGGATATAAAAAGATGTTTAACAAGATAACTAACTCATGGACTTGCTTTCAATTTTAATTATTTTAAAATCATTCTATAATGATTAGAGAGGAATAAACTATTGGGATTCTGAATAATAAAATCAGACTTTATGCTCCTCCGTGTGTTTCTCTTAATCATACGTTATCATTAGCTCTGTTCACTTGTATTTCCTCTGTTCCTAATTGTATGATGTTTCGAGATTTTCACACATATTAAGAATTCAATCATTGTTTAATCATTTGAACATTAATTTTGATATTACATATTTTAAAATAATTATCAACCAATAGTAATTTAAGAAAATTAATTATTTTCAATCATTACGCCTTAAAGTTTACGATTTATTAATATAAATCGATAAAAATAAAGAAAAAGCTAGAAAATCAATATTTGTGAGACAAATAACACAAGCTAAAACATCAATCCTTTAGTAACAGATGGAGTATAAAATATATTATGAGGTTAATAAAAAAAGTTGTTTTTTTTTTCTTTCTGAAATGTCTCCAGTAGATCTGACATGGACAC